TTACTACCTTGAAAAATACTTGTTCATTCAAATTCATCCTGCTTGCACCATTATATTCTACCATGCTTACTATCTCTCTTTAGGACCTTGGAAATATTATAATTAACACTTTCTGGTACTTTATTTTTGCACCCTTATTGCATACTTGGGTATTTCTTGTTTGTTCTTTGCTTTTTTTAGCGAGTCAAATGGGTTCTTCTCATTTTAAGCATTTCATTGTACCGTTAACCTTGTGTTAACCTTGCATATGACAAATAAACACAACTTGAACTCACAACTTGAATCAAGTGCCTGAAAAGAAATGTATAGCATATGGACCTAACTATATGGATATATAGTTATAATTGTGTACTAAGAGAAAGAAAAAACACGAGGCACCACAGACAAGGATTAAATATATCACATCAAAGTATCATTGTCTATTTATTTCTTGACTCACTGAGTCAAAAGCTCTAAATTTCAAGAAAGAACTGTTTTATCTATAAACATACATATATTATATACTATAACATTTGATGTTATCTATATAAGAGTTTTAGTGTAAAAGCACAATTATTTTTTTCATGTCGTCTCCTATGACAAAAACTAGAGATGTGCAGCTCAGCCTAATTCATGAGGGAAACTAGCTTTTAATGTAAAATGTAAGTAAAAAAAAGTTTTCTCCTGAAGAATGATGCATCAGTATGATTAAATATATCAGATTGTGTATTTAATTGTGGAAAAGGACCACTCCTCGAACACTCTCCATGTTTGGTCTCGTTGCTTTTCTTCTTTCCTGCTTTGAGCTGCTGATCCTCATCAAACAAAGTGAAGGCTGCTGCAGTTTCATTTTTGTTGGTGGAGGCTGACCTCTTGAGGTAAACTTTTTAATAAATAAGTCATTTAAACTTATTTAGAGCAGTTTAGCAAACTTTCACCAGATGGCGTCAGTGGTTCTGAGAAGTCCTGCAGAATCAGAAAACAAAGCTCGGATGTGACACAATGCACACAACAAAGACAAGTTTCTAAAAGTTTGGTTTAATTAAAAATAAAGCAAAATCATTCATTTTTAAGTTAAATTTGTGTCAAAAAGCTTATCTGACAGCATGTTTTTCAGTTTTAATCCTGTGCATTTAAGAGCTTGTTTATTCATTAAAATGTAAGTTTAAAAAAGTGCATAAAATGCTGCTCATGTGCTTGTGTTTCAGATATCTGTTGTCTTCCTGTTCACTGAGGCTGTTGCACATCACAGTTTAAATGTCTCGTAAACATTTTGTGGTCAATAAACAGATGTTTCAGAGGATTTCACACAGAATCTCTGGTCTGAAGTTGATTATTGCCTCGTTTGTTGTTGTATTAAACTTCATGTGAAATGTGTTATCTGAGGCATGCATAGATGAAGATTCACAGCAGCCCTTGGTGAAGATACAGGGAAAAGAACAGATTTATTGTAGTTTCGGAGGAGCTGGAGTGTCGCAGGCCGCTGTTTGTTTCGAGGAGAGGGGGTCTGCAGGGGTTTCCTTGTAACCGGAATTAGCTGCGAAGTGCGACCTTGAGGTGTGAACGGAATCTGAAGGAGGGAGGGGTAAAAAGGTCTCTACTTTGCACCTCGTTTACAAGTGAATATCTTAACAAATAAGTCGGGGTTTACTTGTGAAGCGTGGTCACACACGCTGGTTCCCACAGCAAAGCGCTGCACATCAGCGGGAACTTTAATCTCTTCACGTTTTTTCTAAATTAAAATTTGAGAGGGGAGCTCATAAATGTAAAACAAAATCACACTTAAGCTGTATTAAACGCTGTAACGTTGTTTCAAAGTGATTTTTTTTTATTAAATGAGCTTTATGTGATTAAAAAAAGAAAAAGAATCCGTGCGTAATTACGCATGGGCCTCCTGTGTGCATCTGGAGACGTACAGCCTGAGTTTATTGCTGCTGTGTGCAGCTGATAGGTCGTGTGGTAATTTATGCATGCAGCGGGGAGCTCGTGCTCAGGATAGGCCCACTGTCAGATGATGACGCGCCCCCGGACAGGCGCAGGGGACAGCTGGGCCTTCAGCACTGGTCACTCTCTTTTATGTGCAAATCGACGAGAGCAGAGGAGTCGGCTGACGTCAGGCAGGCCTTAGTAAACCTTTAGATTCTTGTCAACTGAGACACACCATGTGAGGCTGAGACAGGCTGGAACCATTTCACTTTGGGGACCTGTTTGGACTAACTGCACAGGGATTTGAACAGTTTCAGGGTCATAATGTCGCCTTGGCTGCATTGACCCTCTGCTGCTGAAAGAACATTTCAAAAAACCCTCTTTTCCCCCCCCAAAACATGTACGTTGGATATCTACTGGATAAAGAAAGCGGCATGTATCATCAAGGACCAGTGAGAAGATCGAGCATCAATCTCCCTCCTCAGAACTTCGTTTCCACGCCACAATACCCCGACTTCACGGGATACCATCATGTGCCAAACATGGATACGCACGCACAGTCCGGGGCCAGCTGGGGCCCTTCGTATGGGGGTCCAAGAGAGGACTGGGGCGCGTATAGTTTGGGGCCCCCTAACGCTATTCCACCCCCCATGAACAACTCATCTCCTGGACCGGTTCCGTACTGTTCCCCTGAGTACAGCCACATGCATCCTCCTGCGCCTGCGGTGCTGCAGCCGCCGCAGGAGAACGTTTCAGTTGCGCAACTTTCTCCTGACAGGGAGAGGCGCAGCTCCTATCAGTGGATGAGTAAAACGGCGCAGTCTTCTTCTACAGGTGAGACTTTTCATCTGGGGAACTTTCAGGACGCGGGCTTCGGTGCCTGGAGCCAGTGAGTGTGGATTTTACGCAGACGCACGGAGAGTTTTTCTTTAAAAACTATATTGCGTTAATTTAACAACAAAAAATGAATAACTTAATTGATATAAATAAAACAGTGTGATGGCGAAAATCCGATTTAGCACTAAAATAAAACAAACAAATAAAACAAAATAACATTTTTAAAAATCACCATTTTTATGAGCGATGGCTGAAAGTGCAGCTGATTTTAAAAAGGTGAAAGGAATTGGCGACATGCCCACTTGTGATGTTAATGCCATTATTCCTGGAGATGTGAGCTTCATTGTTGCTCCCTGTCATATCCAAGCAGCGGCCTCTGCTTTCAACACCTCCTCACTTTGATATGCGTCAACCCTCCTTTCCTCTCCCAGAGTTATGTGGCCGGAAAGTGACTTCTTCACAGCCAATACCTCAAGCTTTGACAAAATTACTCACTCCGGGTTTATTTTTTAACTATTCCAATTTCGAGCAGGTCACTATTTATAGAGCTTTGCTAACGTTCTAACGTTTTTATATTTTCTTGGGTTTAAGTTAAACAAAAGTTGGATTTTTTTTAAACAAAGACAACCATTTTAGGAATTTTCCTAACGCAGTCGGTGCGCATTTTACGCAGAATAAACGCCAAATGTCTGGTTTCTAATCCATTATTTCTCTTCACCTCTTTTGTTACTTGTTAGTCGGAGGAGGAGGTTTGAAATTCACTTTCATCCAGACCAGATCAAAAAGCTCAGTTTGCGTATTTGTGTTTGGAATCAGGTGGCGATGTGGATTTTATGCTGGCAGGCCGCTTCCAGTTGGATTCACGCGGATAAAACAAATCAAATCAACAGATGTGTGTTTCTGCCCCTTGAACAGGTAAAACGAGAACGAAGGAGAAATACAGGGTAGTGTACACGGACCACCAGAGGCTGGAGCTGGAGAAGGAGTTTCACTTCAACAGATACATCACCATCAGGAGGAAGTCCGAGCTGGCTGTCAACCTGGGGCTGTCCGAGCGACAGGTGAGACTCTCATTTGAGGTCATTTCCGCTCACATTGAAATAAATAAAGCTTGAGTTATCGCGCAGAAGCATTCACAACCATGTAAATAAAAGCAAACGCATTTACTCCTTTAAAATCCTGCTTTTATGTGGCTCTGTGCTGCCACGTGTTGCGTTTAAGGCTTAAATGTTTCTGTGGTCATTTTGGTGTTTAGAAAAGAAAATAGTGTTAAAATCATGTTTAACGTGTAAAATAGTACTTGAAGATTAAAAATAACAAGAAAATATCGCTACAAATCAAAAAAAAAATGGATGAATGAATGAAAAGTTATATATTTTTGCTGCATCCTTTATTTCATGCCCATTTCATTTATTTAAATTCTTTAATTTTCACCTTTAGTTAAATTTTTTTCCACTACAATTGCGTATCTAAAGCTTAAGCAGAAATATATTTAAATGATTTAGTTGTTTCTTTAATTGATTATTGGTTTGTTTATTAAGTTACTTTTTGATTTTACTGCTTTTTTTTCGAGCTTGTGAAACACAAGTACTTTCTTATTTTGTTGTTCGTTTTTTAAAATAAGAGTCTAGTGATAATTGTTTATTTGTTGTTTTTGTGGAGGTATTAATTCATTTAATCATTCTTTTAGTCAGTGATTTATTTCAATTTGTTTAATTAAATTTTAATTTTTGATTCATTGTCGCAAAAGTGTTTTCTTTCCTTTAGAACAGAACGAGTTTAATTGTTGCTTATGCAGAGCTGTTCATTTACTTACGTCCATATTTGCTTATTTATATAATGTGTTTAGTTCTTTTTAGTCAAAGACCGAGAAAAAACCACTAGGAATATTTATATTTTATATATTTGTAATCTCAAATGCTGCAGGTTTGATTGTTTTTAAAAACGTTTAGAAAGCTAAAAAAAAAAAAACCACCTTGTAATGTCCTTTTGTGTCTTTTCTTCAGGTGAAAATCTGGTTTCAGAACCGCAGAGCCAAGGAGAGGAAGCTGATCAAGAAGAAGTTGGGTCAGTCTGACGGCAGCAGCGGTTCTGTCCACAGTGATCCTGGTTCTGTGAGCCCTCTGCCGGTACCGGGTTCTCTGAGCCCCACGGAGATCCACAGCTCCCTGTACCCCCCTCAGGGAATGAACACCCTGCCGTCCATCAGGAACATACAGCAAGTTACTGTGACTCAGTGAAAACAGTTCATGTGGACCTCCTCTCCAGACTGAGCACTCCCGACACGCTGACAGAACACTGTGGCAGCAAAATAAATAATAATATTAATAATAATAATAAATAAAAAAGGATCCGAACTCATGAAGCTGCAGATTTTGGTTAATATGCTGGAGGTTCTTCAAATAGTGCTTTTTAAAAATAGAATAGTTCTAATGAAAGGGGGCGAAATGATGAAAGCTTTAAATTGTTTGTGAGTTTATAAGATATAAATATTCAGTTTTGTATGTGATAAAGTTGTATGTGTTTGTGAATAAAGTCAGAGAGGGACAGATGATGTTTGAAACAGAATAAGGTGCAGCTGAACCAAAGTTTACTTGACAAATCATTTACATGTTTTCAGCACAGTTCTGTGAGCTGCTGGTACTGATACGGGTAAAAATAATGGCTTCTTTATAAATGTAAATAAAGTGCGTTTTGTAGTTTACTTGTCATTTTATTGTTATTTGCGTTTAGTTTGAATGAGCTGCAGCTGTTTTCATGATCAGTTTTAATAAGTTGTGTTGTGTGGTCCAAATTGTTCGTGTTGATTTGTGATGTAAAAGTGTTTATTTATCATCCCTGAGTGGCAGAGGTCGGTGTGTCACGGCTTTAACGCATTATTTCTTTTTTATCTGGCGTGTCTGGCTCAGTTACCGAACGGTGCTCCACGGTTAGGCAAGCACATTTATCATATATTAGTCAGCGCCTTAGACCCATGCAAGCAGCTTGTCAATCATCCAGTCCATACATTTTAAAGTATTTAGGAGAAAACACATTGCTTTTCTCCTTTGTGTGTTTTTATGGTGTAGTATTAGGGCCACGCTAAGAAAACAAAAATTACATTACGAGAAAAAAGTCATAAAATTATGAGAATAAAGTTATGAGAATAAAGTCGTAAAACAATAAAGTCATAATATTACGAGAATAAAGTTGTAGTATTACAAGAATAAAGTCGAAATAATACAAGAATAAAGTTGTAATATTATCAGAACTCCGACATGAAAAAGCAGTCTTACAAATGTGGTAAAATGATGAATTTTGAGCATCTTGTTGTTATACTTTGGTATTGGTTTTACAAATAAATAATAAATACTTAATCTGTTTGCACATAAGCATCAGATTATTATCAGTATCAGGACTTAGAAGCGATTGAGCAAACGGATATCTGTTTCGAAGAAAGGACCACGCGGATTTGGAAGATGTTGCTTTTGTGGAAGAGGAGCTTTCTGGCAAAGGTCGACTGCAAGGTTCAAAGAGCAGTTGTAAGACTGCTTTTTGTGTCGGAGTTCTGATATTATTACAAGTTAAAAGTTTATTCTGGTATTACAAGTTTATTCTTGTAATATTATGACATTATATTTGCAATACTTGGACTTTATTCTCGTAAATTACAACTTTATTATCATACGACTTTATTCTCGTAAATTACGATTTTATTCTCATAATGTTATGACTTTACTCTTGTAATACTTCAACTTTATTCTCATAATATTATGACTATTCTCGTACGACTTTATTCTCATAATATTATGACTTTATTCTTGTACGACATTATTCTCGTAATACTTCGACTTTATTCTCGTAAATTACGACTTTATTCTCATAATACTTTAACTTTATTCTCAGATACTTTATTCTCGTATGACAATATTCTCATAATATTATGACTTTATTCTCATAACACTTGGACTTTATTCTCATAATACTTTGTCTTTATTCTTGTATGACTTTATTCTCATAATATTATAACTTTATTCTCGTAAATTACAACTTTATTCTCGTAATACTTTGACTTTATTATCATAAATTACGACTTTATTCTCGTAATACATTGACTTTATTCTCGTAGTACTTCGTCTTTATTCTCATATGACTTTATTCTCATAATATTATGACTTTTTTCTTGTAATACTTCAACTTTATTCTTGTAAATTATGACTTTATTCTCATAATACTTTGACTTTATTCTCGTACGACTTTATTCTCATAATATTATGACTTTATTCTCGTAATACTTTGACTTTATTCTCGTAAATTACCACTTTATTCTCATAAATTACGACTGTATTCTCGTAATATTATGACTTTATTCTCGTAATATTTTGACTTTATTCTCGTAATACTTCGACTTTATTCTCGTACAACTTTAT